TATGAGAGGGAGAAAATGTTAGAAACAGATTAGCAGATAGAATTCATACATTATACAGAGGAACACAAAGTAACAATACTTTCAAAATCCCCTCCCCCTCCAAATCTAATCTGTAATAAGGTCGCATCGTTGCTAAAGAAACCAGTGACATACGGTGTCACTTTAGAATGTTTTTTTTTAATATATAAATTTAATTTGTTTTTGGCAATTGTATTTCAAAATCAATTTTAAAATTCATCTCCACCCCGCAATGATTTAGTTTACCTTATCTTTATTGAATGTATTCACAAACATGCATGCATCAAATATTAGTACACGTCCGGACAGACAAATCGACGGAAGGACAAACTAAAAACTCTCTTAATATGAAAAAATATAAGCTCCTATGACTTTATATAAAAAAAGTAAACTCTTTGACTTTGTTGCTGAAACTCGGTAAGAAATGATATACATAATACGTTGAATGCATTGGCACTGTCAAAGCATGACGCTTATAATCGATGTACAGAGAAATGGCACCCTAAATAGGAGGAAGAAATCAGATTTTTTTTTTTTTTTTGAAATGCACTGAAGTTGAGGTAATATTGTTTAACTCAAGGTGAATCAGTGAATTAGTGCATATTTATATCGTTTGTTATTGTAGACCATCAAGTCAAAACAAAGTAAAGGAAGAAATAAAGCTTGTAAAAGAATGAGGAAAAACATTCTATTAACCCTAAAAGGTCGGCGGGCCCTTTTCACAAACACGGAGGAGATTTTATACACCAAAGTGTAAACATCTTTATCAGGATCACTTCATCAAACTAATGCTATTGTATTTATGTAAAAATAAATAAATAATTCATTAAAACACATCCATTGTACATACCAAAAAAAAATTAAGAGAGGAAGAGTAGGCTATATGACTCCTTGAACTGTCTACCATAATACAGATAGGTTAATCATAACACTTAGCTGACAAACGACCGCATGTTCGCTGTATGTAAACGAGCCAACGGCAGTTTATTGCCAATCTCTCGCCTAGTAATTGATTCGTGTCTCCACCAATGAAATCTTTATTTCTTTTAATTCAAAGGTATAAATGAAACACAGTAGTAACCTCTTTAATTCATTTTATATTTTTTCTCGACTGGCATGAATGTTGGTAATGGATATGTATTTTAGATTTATAAATTTGCTCGTCTGTCTGTCTGTTTTTTGTTAAATATAACCATTGTATGAAGAAGAAGTAAAACTTTTGAATGTTTTTGTTTTGAAGTACTTGATTACATTTTGTCAGTTCTTTTGTATTGCTTATTTGTGTGAACTCGACAATTGTATGTAGTCTTAGGAATGTTTTGGTAGATATTTTTATTTGTTCCTATTACATGTTTAGATGGTTGATCAAGACTTATTTGATCAATAAAATACATTTTCAACATATATGGTGTTTATGTTGTGTGGAGGTAAAGGAAGGAGGAGGCATAACTAATTTCATTGAATCTGACTTACAATTATACAAATCACTTCCGCTAAAGATGACATGACGTGAAATTGATTTAAATTCATGTATATATTTAAAACATATTTGCAAGGCAGAGTCGTTTTGAGACATGAAATGTCCTTTTTTAAAATGTTACCAATATAATGTTTTCACCCTAAACTTCCGTTTGTTAATGAAAAGGGCTATTTTCAAAGAAAGCTTACAATGCAGTGTCTGAATAAGACTGAATGGTTTACTAATACTGCTAGAAATGTACAAACGCAAGATCCTATCTGGAAAGAGATCTTCCGTATCAGTTTTTTTTTTTTAATACAAACTATGATTTATTCTTCTTTTTCATATACCTTTCCCTAAAATTTCAATTTAAAAAAATATATATATTTGTAGATAAACACATTTAAAACGAGTTAATGACTTTAATGTGAGAAAGCAAACGATACTGTTACTTTAAAAATCAGCATAATTAAGTGACCATGAGTAAATCAAATCTACAGATGAAAAAAGATGGTGGTTTGTTATAATAGCGCTGTTAATAAATATTTATGTCTTCCATAAGCCAGAATATTAAGATAAGAACCAATTTAATCACCAAAAACGAAGTGACTATATGACTATTTAGATACTAAGTAAATAACTTGACCATATTAAGGACATTGACAAGGTTCCTGGTTATCGCGTAGAATTTTTCAAGAACTCTTAAGTAGGTTTAATACAATGTACGACAAGCCATTACTACTTTTCTTTCTTGCTGTATAGATGATTCTACCCGTTGAAGGAAGTACACGTGCTTTTGTTTACCCGTGTAACATACGCTTTATTGGTTTTCACCGCTTAGAGAATTCTACACGGGAGATCACTCTCAATCACTATTTTATAAGTGAAAAAAAACCATGTATTAAACCTTTTTACTCCGGAAACACCTGATCACATGCCAATGTCCTTAGGAGACATCCTCAATCTTCATAGATTGTTATAATTTAAGCCAACAGTAATGTGGTTACTTGGTCAACAAACGAGGAAGGCAAGAAAAATATAAATATTGAGGAAAAAGGAAACTATGAGTAAAGTTTCCTGTAAGAAAAACAAAGGAGAGCAGCTTTCAATTTGTAGATAAATGCAAATAAACATGTAGCTGACGAAAAATCATTTACGCGTCGAATAAAGTTTTTTTTTTAAAATATACTTTCATGCACAGATGAACAATAATTTACTCCCTAAAATAAAGCTATATATTATCATTTAAATGTTTGCAATATAAAAACGTTTAGTTCCTTTGTGTAACCTCCCATCAATTAAAGAAAAAAAAATTATAATGTAAGTCATATAAGTACCAATTCTGATGCACCAGATGCGCATTTCGACAAATTATTACAAAAAGAAAGAAAAAAGAATTAAATAATACATGTTCAAAGTCAGAGGAAAATATCAAGAGGATCATTATTAACACAACAAAAATTAAATATTGAAATGTAGTTGAAAAAACACTATATATATATATATCAAAAAAATATCGTCGGGCATTCGGGGGAGGCATATGTTAATATTGATATGCTCAAATAATTGTTAGTGATACATTCATTCTTGCATACGCTGAAAATTCTATAAAAAGCTATATTATTTATCTTTCTTTCCTTGTGTTTTGTTTCTTATGTTACAGTTAAACTCTCTAAGTTGGTTCACAATTTTAATTTTTTCCTATAATTATGTATCTTTTTTTAAATGATACCTTAAGGTTTCATAAGGAGCTGTTTAATACTACGTTTCCATTATGAATACAGAGGGCTCACCACGGGTGTGACCAGTCGCAGAGATTGCTTTTTTCCTCCCTTGGCACCCTGTTCCACAACCTCTGGTGTTTCCAGGATGCGTGTTATTTCCCTGTTTACGATTTGAATTGTAAATAGTACTTGTAAGATTTATAAATGTTTGTTATCTTCACCTTTTTCATTGATGTACCAGTCCGTGCCTCCGCTGAGTAAAAAAGAATCATTTTAAGTTTATATCTAAGGCAAACATTATATCTGGCTTTTTTATGTAATCATTACAAAGGTGGCCTTGTCACAGCCTACATGCAAGTATATAAATGGTAAATTGAAAACAGGAAGACTTTCATTACCTTATCTTAGACTGATTCCTCATTCAACCAATGACTGTATAAAACTGAAATTGATAAGTAAAGATTAATGCATGTCAAACTTTAACATATATTTAGAAAGCATCTTTGGCCCAATGCAAGTGCCGTTGGGGCTTTTCATATTTTTTCTTACCAAATTAAATGTACATTAAAATTAATGACCAGAACCGATTTGCGTTGACGCGGGATGCATACATGTAGCACTTTTTGTATATTTCAACTTCTTTAAATGGCATAATTTTTTAATCACGACGCAAAGCAACCTTGATATAATTTTTTGTGTGTGTCAACATGCGCTGACTTAACACTAGCTAGCATATGTTTGTTTAAATATGACTGATAAAAAGTTAAATGGAAGTCCGTTAGTAGGATTTTTCAATATATTCAATGATATTCTCTGTTTAAGAATGCATACTCATAGTACAAGGGGTGATCAAAAAGTAACGAACTAACTGGATTACTTCCATAAAAGAAATAAAATTAGGTTTTAGTGTTCATTATTGTTTAAAGTAGTTCTCTCTGATTTTAATGCACATCTGCCACCGTCCTGTCCATGCGCGAATCACGTGATCCAGGCGGTCAAGTGACATGCTCCATGGCGTTCTGTTCACAGAAGCTGAGAGATTTTCCCCTGTCTTATATTTCTTACCATGCAATTTGTTTTTTATAGCAAGAACAGTCCATTTGTCAGAAATGGCCAAATTTTGGCAATAGGATGGGTGGATAAGGATATCCTTTCCCAGAATGAGCACGGTGACCATCACAACCCGAGTCCTCTGTCTTTGGAGCGTCGTTTATCCAATGCTGATAAAGTATGGGCGCCTTCTTTTTATCATATCTGATATGTTTAAATTCCAAAGTAAACAAAATTTTAGGGATTTAATAATTATATTATTGTTAAGATATTCAACTATTTTTTTTTATTATAGTACACCTCCCCTAGAATACAGTGCTTAGGTGGGGTCTTTAACTAGCTTAATGTCAATCGTGTTTGATCCTTTTCTTGCTGTTTTAGAAATGACTGTGATTATTGAAAGTTATGGCAGGAAACGATCACAATTCCATTCTATTTCAATGTTACTGTACGGTTGAGATGAATTGACTCATGCCATAGACCAACAGCTTATTTACTGGCTTCTAATATGGTTGACAAAGACAAGTGAAGCTGTTAAAAGGTCTCATTTAAGTAAAAAGATGAAACTTTTTTAGCGATGAAACAGTTACTGTTAAAATGAAAGACAAATAGGTTTACATTATCTAGCCGGTAATCAAACTTTTAGACCGTTCGTATTGAAGGCGACACTCACCCAGCATGATTAGAATAGCAAAAATGACACTTCTATGCGTCCATAGATTACTGTTGTAACTGACTGCGGAAACACAATGGCGAAGAATGAACAGGTTTGTGCATGTACTTCGTTGTAGTTTATTCTTGAAACCGCTATTAATGGTATAATATACCATTTTAAACTATTTTTTCTACGTTTAACGGTGTTGATTATTTTCAAAGTAACGACTCATAGAGAAGAAAAAAAACTTCCTTTTTTCTTATAAATACAGTCTGGAAAATTTGTAAAGTTACCTGATTCATTAACTCAAGTAATTGTAAGAAACAAGTTTATATTTGAAACTTAGGATTTAGTTCTACTTGAGTGATCCATATATATTATTATAACAGTAACTTGATCCGAAGAGTCGTATCACGTCAAGTTGACAGGCGCGGATCATCAGATCAAACGAGACGCGAAGCGTCGAGTTTGATCTGATGATCCGCGCCTGTCAACGAGACGTGATACGGCTCTTCGGATCAAGTTACTGTTATAATGATAAATTTATTATATACCCCCTTTACAACTAGCAAAATATAATAAAAGAAAACTTTTTGGATCAATTGCATAACTTTTAAACATCATAAACAAACCATTTTGTCAAGGAACTTTTTGATGCGCGAGAATAAAAACGTCATTTATCTGTGTACTACGTCATCAGTTTCAGAGAGGGGTGATATGGATTCAGAAAACCACAGTGTGGTGATCCGGAACGTCGGATCACACCGTCACGTGATTGCATAAATTCAACAGTAAAACTGAGTGACAAACAGTTGGGTATATAATAAAACTTATAATCATAGTTTCCTCTCTAAAGATAAAATTCTTCAGAACCATGTCAGTTTTAAAATATTTAAAATTCCTAATAACCAAAATGAAATTCAAATTACCATACAGCTACTGGATTTCAAAGACCCATAATAACCCTTACAAACAAAGATACACAGCAGAATATAGTATATGTTCTACAAGGCCTCGTTCTTTACTCCGCATGAAAATATAAACAGATATCAATGAGAAACTTCAGGATCGGAGTATTCGAGGAGTGATGTTAATCGGATGTGGTTATTAAAACTCTTTAAGTAACTTTTTAAAAAATATGAAATCACAAATTTTACAAAATCAATAGCATCAAAACGTACGTATTTCCAACACTTTATACAACCATTTCTCAGGATATGTTAAAGACTATGCTTTTTGACAACTATTTCTTCAATAAAAATGGAACACGTAAATTTACATACCTTATCTTTGGTCAAATGCAGACTTTTTTTGTAAAGACAAGTACACCAAAATTGTTATTAAAATGATGCTTGATTTTCTCATTGACAATATCTTCGTAATCTTTGGACGAAATTTTTTGAACAATCTGTTGGAAATCCCATCGGTCCTTATTGTGCCTCGTTATGAACCGACCTGTTTTATATTCCCATGAAGGATAATTTATCTAAAATGTCCACAGAAAAAGAAGAAGTCTCTTGCTGTGGCCTTCAATTCTCCATACTTATTTGATACTCACGAGCATGCTCCGAGTACGATCATTTTTTCAACCGAGACAGTCTACTGACAGATAAATTAATGTTACAGGCATTTCAACAACCTCGTTTAAAGTCAGCATTTCGTAAATACTATGGTCGTTATAAATAAAGATCGACCCTGTTAGCAAACATTTAAGAAATAAGGTATCATTTTTAAACATCTATCGGGATATAAATACGGGTTGGTCCTGAGATCAAATTCCATAAAGCCCGAAGGGCTTTATGGTTTCGGGCTTTATGGTAGATTTGATCTCGTACCAACCCTTATTTATATCCCGATAGATGTTTTAAAATGATACCTTATTACTTATATTTACATTTGTAACTTATTCATATTATTTATTAGCCTGATTATAACCTTTAACGCGTGAAATGTTTTATTTTTTCAAACTCAACGGCATGAGTTTGATCTATTGATTGCGCGTCGACCCTTTATGACGTCACTGAGAAATTACGTCGAACGTTTATGACGCGGGGAACCCGTGTTTATACGGATATAGATACGCGTTGCTTTTAATAGTGTTATATAAAGGAAAACATTTGCAAATGTAAATATTACCTGTCATTGTGCCGTATGTTGGCCGACGTATTTCATACCAATTGTTAGACCTTTGTTTTTATACTGAATTTGACTATGAAATGTTCCGTCTACCTGATCTATACAATGGGCTCACAGCGGGAATGACCGGTCAACACTGGATGCTTACTCCTCCTAGGCACCTGATTCCACCTCTGGAATTTCCAGGGGTTCGTGTTTTATGCCCTGCTCACAAATTTGTATTCATTATAGATTTTTATGCGATCGATCACTGTTCATTATCTTCACCTTGTCATAAAAATATATATACAACGTTTTATCAATGCACAATGTTAATCTTCATTCTACGTTGAATCGGTATATCCTATCCAACGCGAAATTAAAGACATCAGGGAGTCTGAAACATCTGCTTCATATTTGGATGTTTAACTTTGATGACTTTAACTTTTTTATCGTCAACTTCCCTTATTTATGTAGAAAAGTATAGCTATCATCTGCGTAAGGGGTTTATGTCTCCCAGTTGATTCGATACTGAAGAGCATGTTTTATGTAAGATCATTTTCTTAAAAAGGCAGGCTATTGACAAAGAAGTTGAAAATACCATGATATCTAAAACTTTGTTAAAAGTCAACATTTTGGAAATTCTATGGTCGATACAATGACCTTTTCTGTAGTTACCATCTATCGTTAATTCGAATGTTGACTAACATCTTTCATCCGAAGTGTTACGCCATTATTTTTTTTTTTTACTGAATTGTCTACAGATTTTTTCCATATACCCAATCATGACAGAGAGACCACAGCGGGTTTGACCGGTCGACAGGCGATGCTCACATCTGATCCCACCTCTGTTTTCAGAGGTCTGTGATTGCTCTGCTCACAGTTTGTATTGTGTGATTGGATTTGGGCATGGTTACTGGTCGTTATCTTCACATTACATTCGAAAAAATATAAATAAAGTAAAAGCCATCTAATTTGACCTGGATTAGGACACAAGTTATGTGACAAAATAGCCAGAGTGTCCCATTACAGAGTGTAAAGAACACTGAAAATAAAAGCGGAAATAAAAAAAAAATCATGGTCGGACCTAACAGTGACATAGATTGCACAGCTGTTGGATAAGATTTTATACTGTATACTAAAAAACGCGGTCAAGGAAAACAAGCGTGATATTATGTGTATTGTTGTATCTATCGTGCATCTTACTGCTTGGAATTTTTTTTAAACTTTAAAATATATAGCACCTCTAACTAAATATTCTCTCATCCCTTCTAGGATTCGATCTCAACAATAGAACTAGCTTAACAATAAATATACACGAGCCTGTAAGTTGTATACATATAAGACAATTTGAAAAGTTCTCATCGTGACTATCACTAAACCATAGCACTAACTTGTTATGTTAACTTATATTTTAAAATTTTTTCTTGTAAAATATAATCAATCAGGAATATATGTATTATTTATCACTTCGATCGGCATTTACTTAATTATTTTGGTGAACATGGACTTTGATAAGTTAGAATTAAGATTTTTAATAGACATGTCTTTGTATAATGTTTTTTGAATTAGTGGAAAATATTTAAAAACCAGTGACAGTGCATTTCATTCATGATCTGCTATTTTAACACTGAGTTTCATCAGATATCGTGCATTAAGATAGTATAATAGCTTAATCTGATTCTTTACTTCATAAGTGCACAACGAAGTCTTCATTTTATACATTTACTTAATGGCTGTATTCTTTCTATTTAAGGTGTTACTTAAGGTGTTAGTAGTACTGATAGTATTAATCCTTCTGATAAATGCAGCAGTCATTGTAAGTATGGTTTACTTCATACCAATGTTGCATTATTAACTTTTATTATAAATTTCTTCCCTTGTTTGATTGATTTATTTAAAAAAATGTACATGTATTAGTATTTTGCACATTTCAGGTCGTTGCTGTACTCTTCTTACCAAATCAAACAAGTTATGATTTTACAGTCGACAACAGTGTTTTCAGTGATCTTGAACACATTGGGATTCACTATATCGATGATTTAGTACCTTTCACAGAGAACTTAGACAATGTGTTCTCTAAAGACTTTTTTAAGGCAACAATATGTTTAACTGCTGCTGAAATTATAATGTCCTGTCTGATCCTGATTTCAATGAAAGGCAAAGAACGTTGGAGAATAATAAGGATAATAATTTTGGCCATTTGTATTGTTGTAAGCATTTTCATTTTTTGATAGGGCTGGGTGTTCTTAACTATATTAGTCCATTTAAAGCTTCTGCAAAAGAATAGCCATATCATTGAAAATTCATACAACAACATGTGAGATTCCACTGAATAAAATTTTATGGCTACATGTAGAAAAACCAAATTACATATTTAGTATTTTAAGATATATAAGGTAAAATTTCGACCACCCAGCCTCCTTAAGATGATACGGTATTTTGATTTTCATTTTGAATTTCACCAACATATTTTATGAAGGATAAAACTTACTGTAAATGTTAAGCTTTCAATTCTAACTAGAAATAACACAAAATAATATCATTTTCGGTCATTGTTAGAAAACTTAATTATACACACTAAATACCAAGTGAAAGAGAAGTTTACTATTCAAGATCTATCTTTCTCTTAAACATACTAAAAAGCTATATCGAGAAATGATAACATTCAATGTTCTATTTTTTTTCTCAACATTAGATTAGCGTCATTACGATTGTGCTATTTACAGTACAAACAATCAATAAAAGGACTTTGGAGAACCCGATAAACATGTACCAAAAAACCAACGAATCAGTACGTTTTTCTTCATCCTATATTACCGGGTATAACGATACATATCAAAGTACTCAAGAAAATTCAGGAAAAGATAATTTTATATATACATGTACATGTGTTTTTAATTCATTTAACTAATTATTTATCTATCAAACTTTTTTTTAAAGTATATAGATCTGAAGCAAAATATGACTGCATCTCTGCATAATGATTATACCAGTGATAAAACAGATACAGAAAACAACGTATCCAATAGCTGGAATTCAGATTTTTTCATTAAGGTAAGTGCTTATTTTAAAATCGATTAGGATACAGAAATTCAGTTTATTTATTTCTTAAAAAAATATTTGATGTCCATGACAATTTTTTTAAACACACACTTTCTTTTTTTCCCACGGATATTGAAGCCTGCATGGCAAGCAGGTAGATTAGTTTATTTTTTACTTTCTGCTAACCTTCAACCTTGTACAACTTTTAAGTTTTAAATCCAATCTCCTACAATATTGGGTAATTTTCTTTAATTATGTTTTCTCAATTTTGTACAAACCTAAGTGAAATTGAACAATAAAGATACGAAAAACTTTACTGGTGAAACACTTTGTTCATTGAAAGCAAAGTCCTACAAAGGAGAAAGACTGGAAGTTGTTTATCTGTTCGAGATTAATTTCTTCCTACCACAGAATGGTCTATCTGTTCAACTGAATACACATATGCCATTGTATCCTACGGCATTGTCTTAAGAATGGAAGAATGGACATCAACAGTAAAGCTTCCTACTTGGCTGATTCCTTAAGTTTTAAGCATAGTTTATTTCTTTTAAATGTTATAAAAAATCCTAATGAATGCCTGACTGGCAAAAAGAAAACCATGTATCCTTCTGTCTTCAGTAATTCAAAAGAGACTAAGGAATTATATAGATTATATAATCAATATGTACTGGTCCCAAATGGCGAAGCAAGTAACAACATAAACTTTGTTTGCAATGCACATTATTGCTTGCCTTTTTAGCTCACCTGAGCTGAAAGCTCAAGTGAGCTTTTCTGATCACCCGTTGTCCGTCGTCCGTCCGTCCGTCCGTCCGTCTGTCTGTCCGTCCGTCCGTCTGTAAACTTTTCACATTTTCAACTTCTCAAGAACCACTGGGCCAATTTTAACCAAACTTGGTACAAAGCATCCTTGGGTAAAGGGGAGTTTAAATTGTTAAAATAAAGGGCCAAGTCCCCTTCCAAGGGGAGATAATCAAGAAAAGACAAAAATAGGGTGGGGTCATTAAAAAATCTTCTTCTCAAGAACCACTAGGCCAGAAAAGCTGAAACTTATGTGAAAGCATCCTGGGGTAGTGTAGATTCTAAATTGTTAAAATCATGACCCCCGGGGGTAGGGCGGGGCCACAATAGGGAATCCAAGTTTTACATTGAAAAATGTAGAAAAACTCTTTAAAAATCTTCTTCTCAAGAACCACTGGGCCAGAAAAGCTGAAACTTATGTGGAAGCATCCTGGGGTAGTGTAGATTCTAAATTGTTAAAATCATGACCCCCGGCGGTAGGGCGGGGCCACAATAGGGAATCCAAGTTTTACATTGAAAAATGTAGAAAAAAATCTTTAAAAATCTTCTTCTCAAGAACCACTAGGCCAGAAAAGCTGAAACTTATGTGGAAGCATCCTGGAGTAGTGTAGATTCTAAATTGTTAAAATCATGACCCCCGGGGGTAGGGCGGGGCCACAATAGGGAATCCAAGTTTTACATTGAAATATGTAGAAAAAAATCTTTAAAAATCTTCTTCTCAAGAACCACTGGGCCAGAAAAGCTGAAACTTATGTGGAAGCATCCTGGGGTAGTGTAGATTCTAAATTGTTCAAATCATGACCCCCAGGGGTAGGGCGGGGCCACAATAGGGAATCCAAGTTTTACATTGAAATATGTAGAAAATATCTTTAAAAATCTTCTTCTCAAGAACCACTGGGCCAGAAAAGCTGAAACTTATGTGGAAGCATCCTGGGGTAGTGTAGATTCTAAATTGTTAAAATCATGACCCCCGGGGGTAGGGCGGGGCCACAATAGGGAATCCAAGTTTTACATTGAAATATGTAGAAAAAATCTTTAAAAATTTTCTTCTCAAGAACCACTGGGCCAGAAAAGCTGAAACTTATGTGGAAGCATCCTGGGGTAGTGTAGATTCTAAATTGTAAAAACCATGACCCCTGGGGGTAGGGCGGGGCCACAATAGGTATTACAAGGGGGAAATCGGGTGAAAAACAGCAAGGCCAAAGTTACTCAGGTGAGCGTTGTGGCCCATGGGCCTCTTGTTATTATTGCCTTTTAGAGGGACTTGGTACATACTGTGTCCTGTTTTTAGTATACCTTATTTTGATTCTTGTGAAGCAGAATTTATTCAAGAACTAATACATGATATATTGATATATTAGATATATTGACAGCATTTTATCAATTTACAATATTCATTTTCATTCCTATGTTGATTCGAAATATCCCATCGAGCTCAAAATAAGACACCACAGAGTCTGACAAATCTGGCTCATAATTTACTAGAATAAGATATTGATAGCACACTTACAACTAAACTTGATGAAAAACGTGATGACTTCAAATTTTCTATCGCTCCGTAATTGGGGGAGGTCGTGTGTTCGAATCACGGCCGAGAGTGACCTAAGTCGATCAAAAAATAGGTAGCATCTGTTCCTTTGCCAAGCGTTGGGCACTTAGAAGTGAAAGTTGCGGGTCATTCGGATGAGACCTTAAAAACCGAGGCCCCGTGTCACAGTAGGCGCACGATAAAGAACCCTCACTGCTCAATGGCCCTGATCATGAGTGCCGAGTAAAGGTCTAAATTTGAAGCCATTCACCGGTATATGGTGACGTCTCTATATGAGTGAAAAATTCTCGAACGGGACGTAAAAAAACATACAATCATGCAATCAATCAATCAAATTGTCTATAGTCAACTTCCCTTATTTATGCAGCAATTTACCTTTATCACCTTCATACTGGGTTTATGTCTCCCAGTTACTTTGATACGCTGGAGCATGTTCTACGTACGATCAATTTCTGAAAGGGCAGGCTATTGACAAACAAGTTGATGATACAAAGATATAAAGAATCATCTGTTGTCATCTTTGAAACATTGTACTCTGAATCTCGATAATGTAGGTTTTTGAAGTGAACTTTTTAAGTTCCTCTTAAGGGTAGAGGCTACAAACAAAATTATATATATATATATATATATATATATATATATATATATATATATATATATATATATATATTTCGGTTCTAGAAGTTATATTTATCAAATCTCTACAATATAGATGATTTGTAGATTTTCTGTGATGTTCAATTTTCTTTTCTTTTTTTTTTTCTTTTTTTTTTTTTTTTTTGTCATATTTTTATTTCTGTCGTAACATGCATTTTTATACAAGCATGACAAAAACTACAATATAATACAAATATGTACATGATAGACGAAATAGAAATCCATTTGAACAATTCAGAAAAATAGACAACATATTTTCTTATTTTCTGTAGCATTGTCCTTCACTGACAGAAATATTTTCCAAAAATCCCAACTTCGCTTTATCATTTCTGCTCTCCATTGATTTCCATTGATTTTCATGAATATTTATTGGAAGTTTTTCCTCCCGTTTTCTTAATGCCATTGAAGGGGACTCTGCTATCTTGTGTTTTGTAACTTTCATATTTTTTGAAGTATCAAAATATTTTCACTTTTAATTTCATTCAACTTTTGGTGATCTTTAATCGTTTGTTTCCAATGTTTAGGGATTGCTGATGGTAGTCCAATCCATTTTTTTTTCAAAATTAGGTTTTAGTCACCCCTTTAAATCCCCATTCAGTTTTCCAAATAGTCTGTGTTCTTGTTGTGCTATCTGTATCCATCAAAAAAGTAATTTCAAATTTATCTCGATATCTATTAAAAATATCTCTACGTTTAACATTATTTGAAGCAAGTCCCCAACAATTTTGGCAACCAATTATTAACCAATTATTACATTATGTCTTATAATAATAATAAAAAGAAGATGTAAAAACCCTCCAACACACTGATGTAAACACCCTCGCGACCAAAAACCTTCCGCTTTTTGAAGCCCCTGAATATTAAAAAAAGGATATACCAGAAATTTACATACTTCACACTCTTATACTTAACAAAATGATGTAAGCATAGAATGTTTTAAATCATAAGTTAACTGATTGTATTGGTGATTATAATTCAATTGTCATTCTTAAAATAGCAGTGACATTTATCCTGCTTATTACTTAAAATTTCTAACACAAATATAATTGATAATTGAATACTGCACATTTATTCCAGATAAACGTGTGAAAAAGTAATTACAATTGGAAATATCCCAGGAGCTCAAAAACACCACTCACCCCGCCATTTGTCAACCGGAAGTCCGATGTTCAAATCTGTACCTTATTGCCATTGCCCTTTTTTTTATCACTTCACTAGACACAATTGAGGAACTTTGAATAATAAAAAAAAATGCCATTAAACATTTAATATATTTTACTTACATATATATAAACAAGGATTATCTTGTTATTTTTCATGGTTTAAAAAAATCTGTCACTTGTCCTTATAGGGAAATTGTTATCGATGCTTCTCAAAGTGGTTCGTTCTGACAAACACAAAAAATGAAGAATAGGCACAGAACTGCCAGATATATTCCTAAGGACGCTAGTTTGAGGAAGGAAAACAAGAGATACTGTAGAGTATTTTATACAGCTAAGAGTAATCTACCCTTAAATGTAAGATAGAATAAATGGGAATCTACAATTAACAAAACAAAATTTAATAGATAAAAGTATTTTTATATTCATATTAGACTAAGAAGGGTATCTGAATGCATTATTCACATATAGTATACCAATGTAAGTAAAGAACGCTAATTTTTGTACACAAATACTCCATTTTATTTGAATGGTTTTTTTTTGGGGGGGGGGGGGGTAATGGCAGGTACTCCTGGTCGAAAACAAATTAGGTTACTTCAATACGTAAATCTTTAAATGATTATAATGTTCTTAAAGTCCAGAAAGTCTTTTCGTTAGTGTATAGAGCTCCTTTAAGGGAAGTGCACATTTGATTACAAAGAAATTCCAGATTCAGCAAGTTTTAAAAAAAAAAAATAAGAGGGAATTTACAAAACGATACTGAGTAAAAAAGAGTCCATTTGTTTAAGGACTTCATGCAATGAGACTACGATAGAATAAATACTTTTTTTACTTATGATAACAGTAATCTGATCCTGTTATAATTGGCATAAAATTCTTCATTTAAATCACGACTCTTGTCTTGAGATATATAATTTAACCGAAAACATGTCTACAAGTATTGGTCTAGTTTTGCATTCTAATACTAATTCTCATCGACAAGGCTAGTTATATACTAGTTATTATAATATACAAATTTCGTAACCCTGCATGACATCAAATCAAAAATAACCCTTTCAAGTTTAAGCTTTAAATGTTTTATAAGTAGAATAGCAAGTAAGAGTAACCTGTGACAAACATTGCTGCTTATAATTACTTGCTGTAAACATTTCATTATTTTTTGGGGGGGGGGGGATTACCTGCGTATTATCAGCAGAGTTTGCAGAAACCCTTTGTCCTGATGACTCAGATGTTGTGTATGCACCAAAAATGAACTTCCTTGGACAAATTAAACATTCAAAATGGTGCCTTTTCCTAACACAGCATCTTAAATCTCATTTTCATTCAAATATTTTAAAATTACAAATTTTGTGTTGAACTAAACACAATCTGAATTTCATTGGCTAATTCGACTTACATGTATTTACTATTCTTGCAAATTTCCTGCAAACAATCAATTTGTAAAATGTCTCTTGCAAATCTGTTGCAAACAACAGAATGGTACGTGTATGTGTGTTTCTTGCAATGTTCCTCTATATAGACATGAGTTCCCGCAGCTCGCAAGATTAGAGCTAGCGGCATTCATCTGCCAACAAGCTAAGAAAGTTATCTTACAGCGACAAACTTATGTTTGCTGCAAAGGTGCAGCAGACTTGATGAAGTTCTACTGCTTTCAAAGCAATTTGGTAAGGGAAATTAGTTTTGAGATGTTCCCATTCACCGTAGTGGACATATGCAAAGAAGCTTTCTTAAATAAAAATATGAAACAAAAAACTCTGCTTGACAAGTGGAGTTTACTAATTTTTCATAAGCTCGCTGCTTTATATACTTCCAGCGTAACTGTTGTGCTGTAAACCCCATAAACTCTACCACGAATGACTTTGACACAACTCCATGGTGTACAACATCTGGAGACTGTCAGCAAACAAACTCGCAGATACCAAAGACTTGCTGTGAAAGTTATTCTGCAAAAAATCCTTCAAACACCAACAGAATTTGCCACGAATATGTAAAGTCCGGCTTCTATAAAGAGGTAAAAATAAATAAACAGTGTACATACATAAAGCCAATAAAATTCATGAAATCGGATGATCCACTTTCTCATAATATCTTGTTTTAACTTGCCTGTTATTGCAGGGATGTTTTAAAGTAGTGAAAGAGGAGCTTCAGTCACGAAAGGATGTTTATATACAACAACAAAAGGAAAAGCAAAAGGAACAAAATAAGTACTTGGAGGATGTAACCATATACTGGAAAAGATTAAGTTATATAAAGGTATGAGTTATACTTTTGCAATCCAAATTCAGATTTTGAGAAATGATATGAATGATAAAAATAACGATTCACACAACTCAAATAAACATCGTAACTAATAATCCAGTTTTGTAGATCTTGATCATGTTACCACTTAAAACAGTGATTTTACATTCCCTACATTTTTTTTCTGACGCCCCGTTCTATCATCAACATATATTTATGTATGTGCATGAAAAACATGAACATTTAAAATCGACGAAAAGTTAAAATTTAGATTAAAAATCATTGAAATAACAGATCCTACTTTTAAACACTTTTCTCGTTATCTCACTCCGCTGATGATTAATGTTAGAATTGTTATGCAGCGAAAGAAAGCCAACTGGAAAGCAAAAAAGTTGCCGAAATACCTTTTAATTTATTATAATATGACATAAAAGTTTTGGATTGGATATTATATTCTTTATTTCATTCCTTCATAAAAGACTAAGGTGTAAAAAAAAAAAACAAACAAACAACTCACTGAATAGAAACCACATTGAATCACAAAATGTTAGGTACTAGTATATTATTATTAATATTACTATTTTTAAATACTAAAAAATTCAGATATTTGTAATTTACTGCTTGTTGTGTTTCTTTTGCGTGTTACTTTATTATTGTTATAACTAGTTACAAACTATAGTAACTGCTATTAGTCTAGTACTTCTTTCATCTTCTAACTAGTACTCCTAATAATGCAAATACTTCTACTACTACTATACTGCTACTACTGTACTTCTAATATTTAATGCTTTTTAATTTTACTTACCAGCACTGTTACTACTACGACGTCTACTTACTAGTACTGTTACTACTACATGTACGACTACTTACTAGAACTGTTACTACTACGACTACTACTTACTAGTACTGTTACTACTACGACTACTACTTACTAGTACTGTTACTACTACGACTACTACTTACTAGTACTGTTACTACTAAGACTACTACTTACCAGCACTGTTACTACTACGACTACTACTTACTAGAACTGTTACTACTACGACTACTACTTACTAGTACTGTTACTACTACATGTACGACTACTTACTAGAACTGTTACTACTACGACTACTACTTACTAGTACTGTTACTACTACGACTACTACTTACCAGCACTGTTACTACTACGACTACTACTTACTAGTACTGTTACTACTACATGTACGACTACTTACTAGAACTGTTACTACTACGACTACTACTTACTAGTACTGTTACTACTACGACTACTACTTACTAGTACTGTTACTACTAAGACTACTACTTACCAGCACTGTTACTACTACGATGTCTACTTACTAGTACTGTTACTACTACGACTACTACTTACTAGTACTGTTACTACTACGACTACTACTTACTAGTACTGTTACTACTAAGACTACTACTTACTAGTACTGTTACTACTACGACTACTACTTACTAGTACTGTTACTACTAAGACTACTACTTACCAGCACTGTTACTACTACGACTACTACTTACTAGAACTGTTACTACTACGACTACTACTTACTAGTACTGTTACTACTACGACTACTACTTACTAGTACTGTTACTACTACGACTACTACTTACTAGTACTGTTACTACTAAGACTACTACTTACCAGCACTGTTACTACTACGACTACTACTTACTAGAACTGTTACTACTACGACTACTACTTACTAGTACTGTTACTACTACATGTACGACTACTTACTAGAACTGTTACTACTACGACTACTACTTACTAGTACTGTTACTACTACGACTACTACTTACCAGCACTGTTACTACTACGACTACTACTTACTAGTACTGTTACTACTACATGTACGACTACTTACTAGAACTGTTACTACTACGACTACTACTTACTAGTACTGTTACTACTACGACTACTACTTACTAGTACTGTTACTACTAAGACTACTACTTACCAGCACTGTTACTACTACGATGTCTACTTACTAGTACTGTTACTACTACGACTACTACTTACTAGTACTGTTACTACTACGACTACTACTTACTAGTACTGTTACTACTACGACTACTACTTACTAGTACTGTTACTACTACGACTTCTACTTATTAGTACTGTTACTACTACGACTACTACTTACTAGTACTGTTACTACTACGACTACTTCTAACTAGTACTGTTACTACTACATGTACGACTACTACTTACTAGTACTGTTACTACTACGACTACTACTTACCAGCACTGTTACTACTACGACTACTACTTACTAGAACTGTTACTACTACGACTACTACTTACTAGTACTGTTACTACTAAGACTACTACTTACCAGCACTGTTACTACTACGACTACTACTTACTAGAACTGTTACTACTACGACTACTACTTACTAGTACTGTTACTACTACGACTACTACTTACTAGAACTGTTACTACTACGACTACTACTTACTAGTACTGTTACTACTACGACTTCTACTTACTAGTACTGTTACTACTAAGACTACTACTTACCAGCACTGTTACTACTACGACTACTACTTACTAGTACTGTTACTACTACGACTACTACTTACTAGTACTGTTACTACTACGGCTACTTCTAACTAGTACTGTTACTACTACATGTACGACTACTACTTACTAGTACTGTTACTACTACGACTGCTACTTACTAGTACTGTTACTACTACGACTACTACTTACCAGCACTGTTACTACTACGACTTCTACTTACTAGCACTGTTACTACTAAGACTACTACTTACCAGCACTGTTACTACTACGACTACTACTTACTAGAACTGTTACTACTACGACTACTACTTACTAGTACTGTTACTACTACGACTACTACTTACTAGAACTGTTACTACTACGACTACTACTTACTAGTACTGTTACTACTACGACTACTACTTACTAGTACTGTTACTACTACGACTACTACTTACTAGTACTGTTACTACTACGACTACTTCTAACTAGTACTGTTACTACTACATGTACGACTACTACTTACTAGTACTGTTACTACTACGACTACTACTTACCAGCACTGTTACTACTACGACTGCTACTTACTAGTATTGTTACTACTACGACTTCTACTTACTAGTACTGTTACTACTACGACTACTACTTACTAGTACTGTTACTACTACGACGTCTACTTACTAGTACTGTTACTACTACGACTACTACTTACTAGTACTGTTACTACTACGACTACTACTTACTAGTACTGTTACTACTACGACTACTACTTACTAGTACTGTTACTACTACGACTGCTACTTACTAGTACTGTTACTACTACGACTACTACTTACTAGTACTGTTACTACTACGACTACTACTTACTAGTACTGTTACTACTACGACTTCTACTTACTAGTACTGTTACTACTACGACTGCTACTTACTAGTACTGTTACTACTACGACTTCTACTTACTAGTACTGTTACTACTACGACTACTACTTACTAGTACTGTTACTACTACGACTTCTACTTACTAGTACTGTTACTACTACGACGTCTACTTACTAGTACTGTTACTACTACGACTTCTACTTACTAGTACTGTTACTACTACGACGTCTACTTACTAGTACTGTTACTACTACGACTACTACTTACTAGCACTGTTACTACTACGACGTCTACTAACTAGTACTGTTACTACTACGAATTCTATTTACTAGTACTGTTACTACTACGACTACTACTTACTAGTACTGTTACTACTACGACTACTACTTACTAGTACTGTTACTACTACGACTACTACTTACTAGTACTGTTACTACTACGACTACTACTTACTAGTACTGTTACTACTACGACTACTACATACTAGTACTGTTACTACTCAACTTATTCTTACTAGTACTGTTACTACTACGACTACTACTTACTAGTACTGTTACTACTACGACTACTACTTACTAGTACTGTTACTACTACGACTTCTACTTACTAGTACTGTTACTACTACGACTACTACTTACTAGTACTGTTACTACTACGACTACTACTTACTAGTACTGTTACTACTACGACGTCTACTTACTAGTACTGTTACTACTATGACTTATTCTTACTAGTACTGTTACTACTACGACTACTACTTACTAGTACTGTTACTACTACGACATCTACTTACTAGTACTGTTACTACTACGACTACTACTTACTAGTACTGTTACTACTACGACTACTACTTACTAGTACTGTTACTACTACGACTTATTCTTACTAGTACTGTTACTACTACGACTTCTACTTACTAGTACTGTTACTACTACGACTACTACTAACTAGTACTGTTACTACTACGACTACTACTTACTAGTACTGTTACTACTACGACTGCTACTTACTAGTACTGTTACTACTATGACTGCTACTTACTAGTACTGTTACTACTACGACTACTACTTACTAGTACTGTTACTACTACGACTACTACTTACTAGTACTGTTACTACCACGACTACTACTTACTAGTACTGTTACTACTACGACTTCTACTTATTAGTACTGTTACTACTACGACTACTACTTACTAGTACTGTTACTACTAAGACTACTACTTACTAGTACTGTTACTACTACGACTACTACTTACTAGTACTGTCACTACTACATGTACGACTACTACTTACTAGTACTGTTACTACTACGACTACTACTTACTAGTACTGTTACTACTATGACTAATACTTACTAGTACTGTTACTACTACGACTTCTACTTACTAGTACTGTTACTACTAGGACTAATACTTACTAGTATTTAATTCTTCTTCATATAACAACTATTATTTACTGCCACTGTACTTGTACATGTAGAACTTAATACACTATTGCTTCCGAACATTACTAATAATTATTTATACTTATTTATACCACAAATATAACGTATACTACTACTTACTAGTTACTACATATATAACCATTACATGTACTACTAATACTACCACTGCTAATTTCATACCTAATTTTTATACATGTGTTTTAGGGTGTGTCCCTTTTGCTTCCTGTAATCTGTCTAATTCTCAGTGTGATTTTAAACAAGAAACACCAAAGTAAGGATTCAAAAACAGAGATGAATAAATTGTAGTGAAGGCATACGACGTACTAAAACAACAATAGTGATCTAAATGAGTGGCTTTGTGTGACGACGTACATTACTTGTCAGGGTTATAATTACCACTCCTCCCACCTATTTATGTTGTGGAGAAGATATGTGTTTTTACTACTTAGCATAAAACATTCAGATCCGATCGTTTAAGAAACTAGAAGACAGATGACAGAGAAATTTTCAACCCATATTTGTAACATATGGGAAGAACTTATGAACAATCCTTTCCCTGAAATTAACCTCCCAAAGTGAATGTTATTACTCCTTTCATTTTTAATAAAGATGTATGCATTTTTTTATGATACATATGTTTATTTTAATTTAATAACTTGTGTTATTTTTCTGCACATGTGTTATGAACATGCATTTATTTATTTGAAACATTTATTTAGGATTATGTTTTTTAATTTAAATTTCATTTTAAAAAGAATAACCGTTCATGCAATGATTTGTCCAATAAAGCAATTACATGAAAACGAAAACTGTATAACATATCGGAGAAATTTTGTTACCGTACAACGCTTATTATTTTATCTTTATAAACATTTCTCATTAAAAACATTAATTCTACATTCAGATATATCTACGACATTTTATCAATTAACAATAGTATACTTCCATCCATAGGTTGATTCGATATATCGCAGTGAACACGATATCAAAGACACATCTGCCACATCTTTTTTCTATTTGGATGTTTTAATTAATATAAACATTAACTTACAAATAAACTGTATGACAAACGAGATGGCCTCAGCTTTTCAATTGTCAACTTTCCATATTTATGTAGTCATATTCTACAATCACCTGTTAATGCTGTTTATGTCTCACAACCTACTCAATACTCAAGAGCATGCTCTGAGTACGATCAATTTTTTAAACCGAAGCAGGTTATGAAAAATAAATTGTATGTTACAGGGATTTCAAATACACCTTTATGTCAGTATTTCTAAAATTCTATGGTAGTTAATAATTACCTTGTTTGCAAATAAATATAGTTTCTATTGTTTTCAAATATTTGCATTAATGACTGACTTTAGGTTCAACATCATTGACATTCTCAAATTGTTTATATATTGTCCCTTCGATGCACTGTTATTGTGTACTTTGAGGAAATCAACTTTACTAGTAACTACATGCATGTAACATGTCATATGTTTTCAAATGGTTAGAAGTCTATAGATCTATAATTGATGGATATTTGCACTTTTCAGTATACATTCAACATAAATTATACTTATTGAATTGTTGAAAAAATAGAATAAGAATATCAAACAACGTGAAATACAGGAAATGCATGGACAAAGTCCTTTAACTGACTTTTAGTTTAATAGTTATCTTTTCTTAAAAATCAGTAAATATTTTCTCTTAAAATTATATAATTACGCATTGACCATCAAATTATGAAAAATATTTTATTAAGCTTCTTCGTAAATATATTGGCCTATGAAATATGATCACACTTTCTGTGATGTGACTTTTTTCCCCAATTATGCATCGGATAGCTTATATGCTACTTTCAGATTATAATTCTTTGATTCCCTGTTAACAATTTAAAACCATGTCCAATTTATCCTTAAATAAATTGAAGACAACGTCACTTGAAAAGGTTAGGTGTATAGCTCCTTTTTTATTCCATCTGATGGAAATGTGGAAATGCAAATTTTCATACATGTATAATAATACAAATCTTGAAAAAGGAATACGTCATACTGTTTTTCTTTTATACACAACCATTTTGACCTTTTTCAAGGTCTGAGGTTCAAAACATTTTTTCGGACCTTCATGATAAATTAAATTCTAGTTGCACATTAATTGAAGTCTCGGCTGATTTCTTAGAAGCAATATCTCTCCTGTACCTCGATTCTCTTTTATATTGATTTATTATTGTAGTTAGAGAAATTACTTATATGTATTTCTTCAAATTTAGTATTTAAAACAGCTACAGGACAAGATTCGGATTCATATGTATTATATGTGATATACCGCAGGCAGGCAGTGAAGCAGCATACCCTTGCAGGATCATTTTTTCTTGTATTCCTGATATCAGTGTTTTCAGTACTTAAATTAAACTGCCTCATATGCATTCTACTTAGTTGCAAGTAAACGTATATTTTAGTTTTAATTTTTTGACAAAGAAATTATGTTTCTCATCCCTATGAAAAATCAGAGGTCAAGTCTGTATTAATCTAATGACCATTAATTTACTTCTAATCAGGCCGCTTTGATAAACGGTGGCTACATTGAAACAGAGTATACAAAGCACGTTTGATGATATAAGTATTTATTCAAATGGTTTCAGAACTATGTAGGTACCCGATTAGGAGTTGAGAATCTCGTATACCTTCGATTCCAGGTTTTTAATGCACTTGCAATCGTTTTGAAGTGTCCACAGTGTGGAAATCCAGGTGTTTTTACAACTACAAATACTATAGCGATGAATGGTGATAGCATTTCAATCGTTCAAAATATTTTCAATGTATTGTCAAAAGTGAAAAAAAAATTAAGAAAAATCATGCTTTTCATTGTGTAATATATCAATCTTCTAGATTGTCTTCAGGATCTCTTTCCTGTCAGTGGCAACTGATGTTTTCCTTTGATGATTACCGCGTAAAGTATAGTGCTTACAGGTCGAGACACAATTTAAACTGAGAGAATGCATGAGAAAATTCAAGAGCTGATGTCCTCCTTTTCGAGAGGAATTTTCCAATTTGGTTGCAGTGTCAAAGACGACATCATCTGTGTTTTCTTATTCCTCGGAAATTCCTGCGACTCTGATGCACACTCTGCTGACATTTCGAGATTATCAAATTGCTTTTCAAGTGTCATGTTCTCTTTGATGAGTAGATATTTGTTTCTTTTAAAGGATCAATAATGTTGCGTATTTCGAATACAATGATGCCTCGTACTGCTTGAGCGATGCGCTGGACATCAACATCAGATATATATGCCGTCCATGCTGTTTGATATGATCCAAGAAATGCCATTTGAGAGTAAGGAATTTTGGTACTGGTGACTTTTCGTATGTGGCCGTGTTATGAAGATGAACAAAACACAGCTGTACAAAGGAAGATCATTTACTGCATGGATACCAATTCACTGTATGATCGTTAAATAATCAATCAATCAGTCCTATAAAAAATAACATGTAAATAAATCACATCAAACAATACTTATATTCAGTTATATGAAGTCCTCACAGATCGGGATTTAACATAAATAGATTTAAACATTTTATATTATTATACTTTCATGTTAAATACTAATATATGATTGGTTTAAACGCATTTAACGATTTGTAATCTTACCCTCAGCATTAGCAACACAATGACAACGGGTAACTCATGTACATCGATAATGTCACATGCGTGTAAATTATGCGCCTACGTAGAATTCTCAAAACGTCAGTTGGCCAATAAACTTGACGTAATTGTCACAATTCATGTCCATAATTGTTTCATATATTTTTATCAGATTACTGTATAACTAATATTTATTGCCCAATATGTTCTCCATACTTTTAAGCTTGTTAAGCAGGTTTCACCTGGCGATTTAAATCCCGTGCTATTCATAAATCAGATTGGCGTAGCAATTGACCAGAGCAGTCTTGTTGTAAGACAGCTCAAGTTTTCCCTATATGTAGGCCTTTCAACTAGTTTTTCAAGTTGCACATATGGTAAAAAACAGTTGATAGATAGATTTGTAGGTACATGAAATTCTCAAAAGAAGATTGTAAACTAAACATACCTTTAATTAAATCATAAAAAAATTAATTATTAATATTTGATTTGTAAGATGTGTTTTAAGGACAGGTAACTCAAGCGTAAAAAACGACCAACAAAGTGCCGATTTTTGAGTTATCGTTTATAGGAATGACATATAGGCTGCTTCAATTGGTATTGTTATGTTCACAAAAGGGTTCCTTATATTCTTTGGTACACAAAAGGGTTGACCAAAACAAGGAGAATGTCTTCACTCTATACCTGGAATAACGGGATCAATGAATGGGGAACAGACTATATTCAAGATTTTTAACTCTCTCCGACAGTTGTTATGAAGAAGAAAATATAATGCCATGTTTTTTGTGTGTGCATTGTTGTGCTTCATCTATAAAGATATATATTTCTACAATTAAATGCAACAATAATTCATCTTAGTCTTTTCACTAAGCACGAAGAAGAACGATCAAGTATAAAAATTTAATCAGGTCAAAATTAAGAAGGGGGATGGATTTCACTTTCTATTTTTATTAAAAATTTCACTTATATATTATTGTACAGTGTCGTTAACTACATGATAAACAAGCTTAACATTTGAGCTAAATTTTAAAACCACTGGATTCCGCTGACAGTGAAGGAACACTTTGGAAATGCTAAAACTTGACATGCTTAAAAACAGTTAGCTTCCTCGGACCCGCTGTAAACAAGTTCCGGTAACGGGTTATCGTTCTTTTCATCGAACCCTAACGGCAGTTGAAAGGCCTACTATATGTTTCAATAATTGTTTAATATTCTCGGTCCCATTGTGCCATTAAGCCGTTGTGCCATTGTGCTATTAAGCCATTGTGCCATTACGCCATTCAGCCATTAAGCCATGTAGGAAACGCGTGCGTTTTGTATACATTGTAAATAAAAACTATTTTATCAAAATTGAATTGTAATTTTGGGAACCCCCCAGCCACTCTCTGACAGTAATCAAACCTTGCGTCCAAAGTAGCTTGATTGAAAACAACAAACGACAGACGAAAAAGACTTGCTAGTGCAGAAATAACTAACATTTAGAAGCTTTCTAAAGTGAACTTAACGACGATCTCCGAATTGTTTTCGCTGACATCCTAAATCAATAAGACATTTAGTATAATAAAATAAATAGTGCATGTTTTTAGGGTAACTACTGAAATTGAAACCCTTCGAAAAACTGACGCGTGGGTTGACAATTGTTTTCCTTGGTGTGTCAATTTTTATTATTATACTTTCATGTTAAATACTAAAATCTGATTGGTTTAGGCGCATTTAACAATCCGTAATGTTACCCTCAGCGTTAGCAACACACTTGACAACGGGTAACATTACGAAAATGTCACATGCGTTCAAATCATGCGCGTACGGTTCACCGTAGAATTCTCAAAACGTCGGTTGTGCGTTTGAAAGAAGCCGAATAAACGACGTCAATAAAAGCTTGTGTCCGATGTAGCTTACTTGAAAACAGCAAACAACAGACGAAACATCCTTGCGAGTGCAAACTTCAGATGATAAAGGACTTTTTGAGTAGCAAACAAACAATAAAGAGGTTGGTAAATCTATTCCGAAGCTTTCTTATTGAGAAAAATAGAAGCGGGGAGTTTGAAAGCTTTCTTAGCGTGAACTTAACGACGATGTCCGAATTTTTTTATGACATTCGAAATCAAAAAGACATTCAGTATAATAAAATAAATAGTGCACGTTTTTGAGGGTAACAGTTGAAATTGACACCCCTCGGAAAACCATAACATAAATATGTTGACATGCGAGTTATGTATGTGAACAAGCAATATAACTAGGGAAACATGCAATTTCTTCATTTCAACACGCGAGTTAATTATGTGAAAATGTAAGATATTTATGTTAACATGCGAGATAACTATGTTGACATGTTATGCCATCATGCAAGACAATTATGTTAACATATTTATGTGTGCCAACATGCAAGATACATGTAATTATGTCGACATGCAAGCTGATAATGTCGAAAAGCAAGATGATATCTTGCATGTTAACATAATCAACTCGCATGTCGACATGAATAAATCGCATGTCAACATAATTTTCTTGCATGTTGAAATAAATAAGTCGCAAGTCAGCATAATTAGCTCGCATGTTAACAGAAATATCTTGCTTGTGAACTTAATTATCTCGCATGTTGACATAAATACCAAAAAGAAGTATTTCAATTTTACAATAACTACATCGAGTGTTTTTCACAATCAATATGATTACTGAAAATAATAATTTATGAGCCTCAATGAATTTT